CAAGTTTTAAGATCTTATATCAGCCAAAAAGTCTTTTTGATCTTGTTTTGAGACTGATTTACTAAACAAGAACAGAAAGTGTAAGAATAATAATCTTGTTTTCAGAATGTGTAAGATTATTTGTCTTGTTAGCCTGGAAATTTGGCTCAAATTAAGTGAATTTTTTATGTCATTGGAGTAAGAAAATTTTACTTGGTAAGATTCTTATAATACTTGATTTGATTCAGATTTTTCCAATTTCAAGAATCTTACTCCACTGGCAGAAAAATTTCACTTAATTTGAGTCAAATTTCCAGGCTAACAAGATAAATATTCTTACACATTTTGAAAACAAGATTATTATTCTGTTCTTGTTTAGTAAATCAGTCTCAAAACAAGATCAAAAAGACATTTTGGCTGGATAAAAGATGTTAAAACTTGGATAGAAGAACAGTTTTTGCAGTGTAGTTTTGTTAGCGCTGGAAGAGTGTGATAGGGCTTATTCTTAGCTTTTACCACACTGTATTTTGGGTTATTATTTGTAAATTAACTGAGGTTCAGCCATTTTTGTGCAGCACATATTTGTCAAACTCAAGGCCCGTGGGCCAAATCTGGCCCTCATTAACAAAGGTAATACTTAAAATGTAAAATAATTTTATGGTTTCTTTTTTATCACTGAACTTCGTGCAGTCTTCTTGTGACTTTCAGGCCAAAAGAATGAAATTTGACAGTAATTTTTGGGAGGTTTTTGTTAAGGAGAGCAGCCAAGAATTGAAATATTTTCTCATCTTTTTTTAATATCAAATGATCTTTAATGAAGTTTTTCTTTTTTAACCAGTTTGCTGGATTGTGATGAAATGTGTCTCTAAATAATAATAAATAAGCATTTGTTCATAGAGAGTAAGGCTTAAAAAAGTATTTGTTTTACTTTATCTGTTAGGGTATATGTGTTCTAAATGCAACATTGTTTGTTTTAAAAAAATTTTGTAGTAAACAATGGACCCAATTGGTTTGGACCAAGTTTTGACTTTTGGCCCACTTGTGAAACTGAGTTTAATACTTCCAGTGTACTTGTGACTGCTTAGCTGTATGGCCATCTTGAATCGTGTTGTCTCCAAAAGTGAATCCAATAATAAATATCAAAGCCTTTTAATAAAATCCATCATGAGATATTTTGCTAACACACCTTGGGTTGACTCCATCAGTTAGTAGCAATTTTATGTGATCAGATAGTACTCAAATTATGTGCTTGGAATAGATATTTTGCTAATAGACAAACAAAAACACCTTTCATCACAACAGTTTTAATTCTAAATCACTGGTTCCCAAAACAAATCGATCAGTACAAAGTTTATCTGATCGAACAGGGGAAGCAAAGTGAGCAGATAACTTTCCAGGAGATGTGATCATGATGCATGTTTTAATTGTCACTGCAGAGAAAGGAGTGGGTTGGGTTGTTGAGGAATTGCGTAACACCTGAAAACAAAAGACCATCGGGTTTGTGTACTGTATGTGTGATGGCAGCGCACATCATCAGTGAAAATGTTTACCGTAACTACAACCCGCAACAAGTCCTGAAGTGAAGAAAGCAAGCCGTTCAAGCCCAAACAAGATATTAATCTGAGTCCATGTGTCTGCACACAACAGCCGAAGCTCTCGGCCCACATGTAATCACACACAAGCTAAAGCCAGATGTTCACAGTTCCAAAGGTTCTGGTAAATAAAGTGATCCCAACCATTCACAGGTGGATGAACGTCTAAACTTCAGCTCGGGGCAAAAGAATGAGGTGGAGGCAGGGAAACGCAAAAACACTGGGTTTCATCACCGGACCTCTTACGTCAAAAAGATGACTAACAAGATAGGCAACAGAATACCTCCCTTTATGTTCCTGAACAAATCCTTCCTGTAACTGATATGTCTTCCGATCAGGCTTGATCAAAAAAAAAAAAAAACAGAAAACATTCAAAATACAGCAACATGTATGTAATTTTGCTGCTAACAATGTATGATTGAATCATTATGAAGTGACAGTTAAAACTGCTCACTGATAAAAGGTGTTCACTGCAGCTGATTTGCATTGTGTGGGTTTTTCCCACAATTTTCTTTTCAAATGAGGAGCTGACAGTGACTTGTGATTCTGATGAAATCTTTCAGTCATGTGGAGCAAATCGGAGACCACTCCCTGGCCCTGTGTGGGATTTTGCATGAAAGTGAACTTATAAAAGATTTGCAACAATAAAACCCAACTCATTCTTACAAACTGTAACACCACAAATCTGGGTTTATTTTGCTTTTAATCATTTACATCTTAGCCTGTACAGCAAATGAGATAAATTATAGTATTTTTGTGTTGCTTTGCATCCTGATTCTTCACCTTATTAAAGTTTCTAAATCAAATTGAGGGCCAAGGTATAAACAGCTTTACTTCTTACATGTCAGGCAGTTTATTTGTATTAGGTCTATTCTGTGAAAAAGCATCTGATTTATCATAAACAAGACAACAATTATTATTGGATTCCCATCTGAAATTTAGAAGAATGTTTGAACAAGGTATTAACTTCGAAAGAATCAGTAGGGAACATTCAGAAAGTAGAAAATGACTATTTTATTTATATTGATCAGGAGTTTGATTACGCTTCCTAATAAATACCATCACACTRGACAACTTGTGYCAACTTAWAAACATTTTAAAGATGTCTATGCTGAAAATGGAACTGAAAAAAATCTACAGKAAGCTTCTTTTCRGTGTGTMCWTAAWGTACTTCTAACAAATTGATCAAATAWACAAATTKTATTAGCAATTTAGACATAAAACATGTTTCATAARTTGGCATAAGTTGTYTAGGGTGACAGGGCCTTTAGCAAGGTGTTTTTAGTAAATTTGCTAGTGTAAAAACATTTAAAGTTCTTTACATCTACAGTTAGACAAAATCTAAAACTTAATGATTTGGTCCCTCACTGTGTTTTTTTTTTTTTTTTCAGACAGCCCAGATTTTTAACAGAAAGATAACCTGGTTAAGATCAAAACWAAGAGTCATTTGCAAGTGCACATGTCCACTGCAGGTTTATGCAAAAGTCTTGGCAGGAAACATGTCAGTGGATGAGCAACATTTCATGCAAAAGGTGCAGCATGCAAAATCAACACTGTGGTCAACACAAGACTTCATACAAAAACAACTGTGTGATGAAGCATCACACAAAATATGTGTTTCATTAACATAATCAGGATGAACAACTGACGATGATGATGATGATGATGATGATGATGATGATGATGATGATGATGATGATGATGATGATGATGGTGCTGGTGCTGGTGGCAGTAGCAGCCTACTTCATTCATTATAGTGTTGGAAAAAAACTGAAAACTTTCATTTGAAGCTGTGGTTTTGTTGGGACAACAATTCACGTAGGTAAATAAGATTTTACAGTTTGTTTTATGTCCTGACAGAAAATTACCAAGTTTAAACCACAATCAAATGTCAGGAAAATTATCCGGAAAGATGAGCCCAAACTACACACGCACAAAAAACACACAAGATACTCTTATGAATTCACATATAAYGTTTTAAAAACATGAAAACCAGCAAAACATTAATATACGTGATAATGAATCCAATACTCTCTATTTATAATAGACTGCTTCATAGTGACGAGTGCTAGTGGAGCCCAGCTCTTCTGGGTTAAAGGTCAAACGATGAAATTGCTAAGAAAATGCCATTGGCCATGTGAAAATTCAACAAGCTCAAAAGTCCGATTTATAGCTTAAATGGTCATGAAAAAATGTCATCTCTGATCCTAAAGGAAAGTTTAACACAAATCAGTTCAGAGCAAGTGCATCCGGTCTGTAAAACGGCATAAATTTACTTAATTGAATGTCTTCAATTACAATGGATTTTCCATAGAAACTTCAGTTTTTTCACAAAAAAAAATGTGAGCAAAGCCCATTTCGCACAGGTGCAGTTGTAACAAATTTTAACTACAAAATTAGGGCATCCTAAACACAACACATTTGCATAATTTAAAACTGTAAATATGTAATGATTTATTAATAGTAGTTTTAAAAATCATAACGTAATAATCATTTTGAAATTTATTCTCAAACCGCAAATAATAATATTTGCTGTTTCTTTAGATCAACACTTATACGTCCTGAGAGAACTGTATGGAGTGATGGGAGTGCCACAATCACTCTTAATTAATAATAAATGAAAAATAAATGAAACAACACTATTTTTTCTTCCATTTTCCACTCAGCTGCTTTTGCTTTACTTATCTAATTTTTCTGTAAGGTTTGTCATTTTCTATGGTTTATATAAGTTTTTGGACCAGCTCTTTAAAAAATTTGAGAAACAAAAACATTCGATGCATGGACAACAAGACCCAACATGACCATGGTTACATACCACAGGTTCACTTATTCATTTTCTTCCTAATACTGTATTATTGTTTTGAAACTCCAAGATTGCAGGCTAAAACTAAGATGGTAATTAAGCTTTCCTTTTTAAATGTTGCATAAAATGTGACGAAATGGCAACAACTTTTAAATCAGCTATTTTGTTAATTCTGGTGCATTTATATTTTTTTGTAATATTGATTTCACTGTTAAATAAATTAAATGAAACAATTAAGAGAAAGAAAAAGAAACACCCGGTAACCCAGCGGAGACTCCGCCCACTTCCTCACAGGACAACCACGTTAGTTCTGCTGTTTTTACAAATGTTACAAATGGAGAACAGAGATGCGTGGCTTAATTTTATTTTTGATGGCAATGTTCTAGCAATATTGCCAAAGAAAGTTGTAGTTTGTGCAAATAATTTCACGGTGGACTCCTTTGAAAACAGTACACCGCAGGATTTGCCCAAAGGCTTTCAGCTGAAGGAAACGTCTGTCCCTACTGTTCGTCACAAATCTGCAGATGAAGGCGGTAAGTGATGTGTTGTGTGTTTAGTGTTGCTGTTCAGCATGAACATGATTTGTCATTTCGCACAAATTATTTTTGAACACGTTGCCGGGATCGACTACCGAGGAGGCAAGCAGCTTCTCCTTTCCTCCTCCTGGACTGGGGAAGCAGCGATGATGGTCTGTGCTGCTGTTGCACAGATCGCCATTCCCTCTTCGCCACGCCAGCATCAGGAAGCGTTGACAGACATGTATTGGCCTTCCCGGCACCAAGGCTTCTGACTTCGGTTGGACCATTGATCTGTATTGATCAATGGGTTGGATGCTCCAGTCTGTCCCTACCAAACCTTTGCCCGGGGGTGGTCGCAGTCCATCTACTACCGTTGTTTTATTGTGCATCTACTAATAGCCATTTTCATGTTTCTGAAGTGCTAACATAAACGCTGTATTGGGAGGGTGGAGCTAATGTAAACACAAGGTTGGGAGGGCATTGCCACCGGCAGCTTATTTGCATAAACTGCTCGTTCAGAAGAGAGCTCACAACAGGCAGAACTGAAAAGAGATATCTCACTATCTGAGATTTATTTTGTGAATTAAATCAAATGAACATGTTTTGTGTAGCCCACAGATGTATCCTAACTAGTTCAAGGACCCCATAATAGGTCCTCTTTAATGTACTTTTTGTACAATTATTTTATTCTTTTGCAATTTTTTTCTGGCATTCTTTTCTTTCCATACTCGAGGCCTCAGGTGCTTACAGGTAAATTTGCATACAGCCATTTCATTTTTTATAATGCACCCACACACATATGTACGCTGTTGTCGGGACTCTGTCTGCAGTCTCCAGGCTGATCTGCAACATGGCTTCACGTTTCTGTCTGCTGTGTGTTTGGTGCCTGGCGTTCAGGCTGAGCTGTGCTGTGGACTCACCTGAATGGTTTAAGAACATTTCTACAAACCTCTTCAGTTTATCAGGAGACATAACACTCGGAGGGCTTTTTCCGATTAACCTGCAATCCAACAATACCAGTCCCATACTGGAGCCMAACAGCATCAAATGTGAAAGGTAAATAATGACAAGAAGTGTTACTTTTCTGTATCCATGTGGCTAGAATTGATTAAAATGGCTTCTGTTTTTTACTGCTCTTGTTAACAGTTTAAATAAAGTCGGACTGGGCCTTGCTTTGGTAATGAAGTATGCCGTCGATGAGATCAACGGAAACCAAACTCTACTTCCAGGCATTAAGTTAGGTTATAAAATCTATGACACATGTAGACAGTCTTTCATTGTTGTGAAGCCCACTATTTCCTTCCTCACTGCAAAAACAAGCAACGCTCTTGAGGTGGAATGTAATTACACCGACTATGAGACGAGTATTTCAGCAGTCATCGGTCCTTACACGTCAGAAATGGTTTCAGTCATTGGAAAGCTGCTGGGGTTTTTTCTAATGCCACAGGTTTGTATACAAATGGGAGCTTCCTAAATAAGATATGTTACTGAACTAAGCCTTTAAGGTTCTGATAAAGTGGCCATCCAGAATGCATTTGCCCAAGAAATGTAAAAACCTCATCAGTAAAATGAAGCCAACAAATGTAATCATAATATAGTTAGTTGATCATTTAAAGTCTTATTTATAAAAAAAACATTGTGTCTAAAACTGTGTTTGATTGAAAATAATTGCATAATTTTGGATATTGTTGTTTACATTTAGCTTTGCAACAACAGTTTAAACATTTAAACTTGCATTTCAACAAATTAATGTTTGACATAGATCGGTGGCTTTAGCCCACATTAGATCCCTGTATGAAGTCATAATTGGCACCCAATCATATTCAATTATATCGACCTCATTTATAAAATAACTGATAATAACTAATAAATTCTTTCAAACTCATAATCATGCACGTTAGCCCAGAGTGCAAAGGTTTTTCAAGCAAATGAATGAAACAATCGTAGAAATATATTTTGTTYGTTGAGTCTGTGAAAAACTCAGAACCTCAAAGTTGTCTGTTTATCAAACAGCTAATAGGATTGTTCTTTCTCCAGATTAGCTATGGTGCCACCAGTGACAAATTCAGCGACAATCTTCTCTACCCATCATTTTTCCGTACGGTGCCCAGTGACAAATGGCAGGTGGATGCCATGGGACGTCTGATGAATAAGTTTGGTTGGACCTGGGTGGCYGTGGTCGGCAGCGACGAGGAATACGGGCAACGAGGTGTGCAGGAGTTTTCCAAAATAGCAGAGAACATGTCCGTCTGTGTTGCCTATCAGGGCCTGATTCCAGTTTACGATGACCCCGAACCGGCTCTCATAACCATCATTGAAAATATCAAAGCAACGGGGGTCAACGTGGTTATGGTGTTTTCCCTCGCAGACCCAGCATTGCTCTTTTTTACCAAGGTCAGTGAAGCTCAAATCCAAAGYTCTTCACATGTTGAGGAGGCATGCATCACAGTCGACAGTCATCTTCTTCACTCTGTTTCAGGTTATCCAGAACAATTTAACAGGTGTGTGGATTGGTAGCTCCAGCTGGGCCATCAACAATCAAATTACTTCTCTCCCAGGCATCCAAGAAATTGGCACATTCATCGGATTCATCGACAATTTGGATACTTTAGACTTACTAACTCCCTACACACAAGCGCTTCTCAAAAAATTGAGTGAGGAGACGTCAAATACGGCCCCTCAAGAACAACAACTGGGCTACCCCGACAACCCCTGCCCACAGTGTTGGAACCTGTCACCGGCTAATATCAGCTTGGTGACCGATAGTGCTGTGAAGAGAATCGCTTACGCCGTGTATGCTGCTGTCTACACTGTAGCACAGGGTCTGCATAACATGCTGGAGTGCACTTCAAATCATTGTAACTGGGGATCCAACAATAAAATCTATCCCTGGAAGGTAATAATAACTGTGACCTGTTTAAAACCAGTGGAACATTCTCCATATGGCTAAAATAAACCTTTATTTTACATCTTGTTTTTCAGCTGTTGGAGGTTTTAAGAAACACTTCTGTCAACATCAATGGCACGAAATTAGTGTTTGATGAAAATGGAAATCCAAACATTGGGTATAGTGTGATACAGTGGAACTGGAGTTCTTCTGGTGTGGCGTTCCGTGTTGTTGGAAGTTATTTTCAAAAGCAGCTGTTCATCAACAAATCCGACTTAACGTGGCCCGATGGAAATGTAACTTTAGTTATTTGTCAACATCAATGTACTGTTTATAACTYTAAAAATCTCTGATCCAATTTGGCTTTGTTTGGTTTTTACAATTTTTCCTCGATTCTTCCAGGTTCCTAATTCCACCTGCTCAGCACAGTGTCAGGAAGGTCAGGTTCGCAGAGTCAAAGGGTTTCATTCTTGCTGTTACGACTGTATCGACTGTCTGGAGGGCACATACCAGAAAAATGAGGGTAATGTGGTTGGTCAYGGATGCTTTTAGGCTAACTGATGTTTGTTAGCTGATTGTAGCTAATGGAYGACAGCTACAATCAACAGGTTATGGTGACACTCAGATAGAAATGTGTATTATAGGGATTAATTGTGAATCCTTTTAAAGGCAGTGAGCTCCAAGAGTTAGTAAGCAACCAACAAAGTCARTGTGTGCTGCCAAGACATAATCTGATACAAATCTCCTCCTAAACCCACAACATGTGATTTGTGAAGTTCTGATACTTTTAAAGCCAGGCCACCTGTTTTTGTTTTCTTTGTTTCTGTGAATGTGAGTGACACTCATCAGCCCCAGATTTGATCCAACAATAAGATTTCGACTAGAGAAACTGTCTTTTCTGTGAAAATGACTTTGCTGAAATTTGCTGAAGCTGAACTATTACAGCTAAAAAAGAAAAAGCCAAACATTAGCTAAGGCTAAGAGGAACAAAATACTAAAAGCTAAAAAAAAACATGCTTGCTAAAAGTAACAAAATGCTAGCTAAAAATAGTAAAACRGGATCTAAAAATTAAGTGTAGATAAACATCAGCTAAAAACTAAATGTAGTTATGGCAAGAAGCAAAAGTACGCAATAGGTAGTGCAGAAAAACATTGACTAAATGTAGCAAAAGTCTAGCTAAAAATGCTGAAAGGCTGGAGAGTTTGTGAATGAATTAAAGAGATACCAATGGACAATATTTCTGTGGGGAAAATAATTGTAAATAAAGTTAAATATATTAAAATTAAAATTAAATAAAAATAAAATAACCAAAAGTCCCAGCTCCCCAATGAGCTGAATTTTTAAATCAATGAAATATAAAATTAGCAACATTTGCAAATAGTAAGACTGAAAAAAATGAAGAAAAACTACTTTAAAAGGTAAGCATGAAAATATGGTATTTGAAAAGAAAAAAAACATAGTAATATTTATCATGATAAATCCAACATTTCTGATGTTTGTTAAACTGATCTAATTTTTCATTTGTTTGTTTTTGGACGTTTAGAGGACATCCAGTGCACTGACTGTCCTGCACGTCAGTGGTCTCTGAAGCGCAGTTCGAACTGCACCTTCCCCATTTTTGAGGTTTTAGCATGGAACACTCCTGAGGCGCTGCAGATTTTGCTGGTAGAGATTGTGCTGCTGATATGTCAGGTGTCCGTGTGCATCCTGTTCCTGATGCATCGTGGGACACCGCTGGTGAAGGCCTCAGGGGGAGGCCTCTGTTTTGTGGCTCTGCTCAGCCTGATGGGGGCCTGTTTGAGTCTGCTCCTGTTCCTGGGGCAGCCTGATGACATCGTGTGTCRTCTTCAGCTGCCTCTCATTACCATTTTCCAAACTGCTGCCATCTCCATTATGCTGTCCATCTCCCTGCAGGTGAGGAATGATAGGTGACACACTGCCCTCTAGTGTCAGTATGAAGTAACTACTGAAAGAACCAACAGCAGAACAAGTTAACATGCTTCAAAGTAAAGTCTTATTTGCATTTTGCATTGTGGGATGTCAGTCACAGATGAAAAAAATGAATTGCATATTGTAATATGATTTCAAACACATCTCTTTGAACAGATATTCCTGGTGACAGAATTCCCAAAGCAGGTTGCCTCTCACCTGCAAACATTGAGAGGTCCTGGAAGCTGGCTGTTTGTGCTGATCTGCTGCACGATCCAGGCGGGTCTTTGTGGCTGGTTTGTCAAGGAAGAAGACTCTCTGTCCAAATATAAGGCCAACATGATAATAGATTTTGTGAAGGCTTTTCTGGCTTGTCCAGTGTCCTCAGAGAAATTTGCTGTGATGCAGGGCTTCAACGGCGCAATGGCCCTGGTGTCRTTTATGTCAACTTTCATGGCAGTGAAGCCTCTTCATCAGTACAACCTGGCGAGGGACATCACCTTTTCCACGCTGATCTACTGTGTGATTTGGGTTATCTTTATTCCAGTTTATACAGGCTTGAAAACCTCCAGCTCTACTGGGTCAAAGAATGTGTCGATTGTTCATGTCTATTTTACCCTGGCAGGTAACTTAGGGTTGGTGGTTCCCTATTTTTTCCCAAAATGCTACCTGCTGCTGAGAAAACCTGACTTGAACAAACCAGAGCACTTCTGTACCTTCTTAGAGGGCGTCCCACCAACACCACAGGAAGAGCCACAGCCAAAAACAGACAAATAAACTAGACTTTTACATTTTATCTATTTTTTTTTTATCTTACAAGTAATGTAAACATATGACATAGCTGACTAGCTGACAAAATGTAGAGTGTTGTGATGTTTCTTCTTAATTTTGGGATAAAAAGAATTTCCCAGTAAGAAAAAGCATACCATTTGTTTTGTTGATAATAATGTTACCAGTTACACTGAATATTATTTCTTATGATATTAAACATTGTCTACTATAAGTTGTTGTCTTTTTCAATGTTTTACAAGCAAGACACCTTTTTCTCATTTATGTCTGGCAGCAATAGAACAACTCAGTTTACAACAACATCAATTTKCAATCAAGCACTAAATACACAAAACGTTAATAATAAGCATAATAGAGAACTGAAAATGTTGGTATAAAATGCAGGTTTACAAAACAAAAATCTAATTCTCCACATGAAAAATATATCTCAATAACCACATTTGATCAAATTATTGCAGAAAGTAGCCTATTATCGATGCTAAATGATCACAGACAAGCGTACTTTAGTAATTATTTTTACTTCTATTTCTTACATTTTCACACAATTATCTGTACTTTCTACTCATATTTTTTTAAAAAGGCAAGGAATAGAAAGTTGTTACTTTTATTTCATTTACTTAAATTGTATAAGAATAATAATCTTGTTTTCAGAATGTGTAAGATTATTTGTCTTGTTAGTCTGAAAATTTGCCTCAAATTAAGTCAAAAATTTCTGCCAACGGAGTAAGAAAATTTTACTTGGTAAGATTCTTGAAATAAGAAAAAAAATGAGTCAAATCAAGTATTTCAAGAATCTTACCAAGTAAAAAATTTCTTACTCCATTGACAGAAATTTTTGACTGAATTTGAGTCTAATTTTCAGACTAACAAGACAAATAATCTTACAC